GCTCCAAACTGAAACTCTCCAGCCCTTCCTCTGGCCTTTGTCTCTTTCCTGGGCCAGGAGGCCGCCTGATCTCTTTGTTCTACAACCCCTTCAGTTGGCATCTTTGCAGAGGAGGGGCCCAGGCCATCAGTTCCCAGGAGACAGGGTGTTGACCATTCTCTGTGCTGACATCATCACACTGGCCCTCTAGGGCTCTGCAACGATCACACCCCCTGATCCCCCCACCTAGATACTTAAGAACTGCATAGGGGAAACTGAGGCACTCACAGTATCCAGAAAGAACATTAAGAGCATTCCTACTTTGTCACATCTCTCCCCCTTTCGAGACCAAACTGAACAGGGTCACTTTAGCCGGTGACCTGGGGAAGTTTGAAGCCACCAACGTTTCCATGGATGCCCCAGCATCTCTCCCGTTCCTTGGTGGGAGTTACACCATCCCTTAGGTCGGGTGTGCTCAATGGCACTCGCAGGCCGCACGTGGGAAGGTTTATGCTGCCAGTGCCCATTTGCCACCCCACAACCCCCAAACTGGGATCAGGTCTTCTCCCAGTGCTCCAGACTGGAGGACTGTGATTCGGGCTCTTTTGGTTAGGAGCCCCCATCTTGACCTTGGCCACCCTCTGGCCATGTGTCTCTGTCCCCCGCCGCTCGGCATCAGCCCCTTTCATTGGATGCAGCCACGTCGGGGCAGAGGGGTCAGTAGACACCGCAAAGCACTGCCCCATAGATCCGGCTGCAGCTTCTTAAGGGCCTGCCCCACAGGTGGGCATTTCTTCTCTATGGCCACGTAATTCCACTCCTGGGGCAGCAGCTTCTTGTTCAGGTACCCGATGGGGTGTCTCCCCTCCCTTAGCATCGACTTGCATCAGCACCGCACCCAGCCCTGTGTCTGAGGCGTCGGTGAACACTGAAAAGGGCTTGGCACTGTCCAGGTTTACCAGATTTACCGAGCCCTGGATTAGGGCCTCCTTCAGCACACAGAGAGCCCCCTGACACGGCTCAGTCCAGACCACCTTGTCTGGCTTCCCCTTCTTACATAGCTCAGTGATGGGGGTAGCTGGGGAGTTCAAGTGGGGTACAACCCTCTGGTCATACCCCACCATCCCGGTAAAGGCCTGGCCCTGTTTCTTGATCTGGGGAACGGACCAATCTCTGATTGTCTCCACCTTACACTTTCCAGCTTTTACCATCAGTTCTGCCTCCTTGGGGCAGCCCAAGCACCCTCTTCACCTGGGACATGTGTTCCTCCCAGATCTGGCTAAAGACACAGATGTCATCAATGGACGCCAGGGCCAGGTTCTCCCACCCTCTCAGTAACCGATCCACCCGGCGCTGGAGGGTGGCCGACGCCCCCTCGAGGTCAAAAGGCAGGACCAGGAACTTGCCAGTCACCTTTGGGGAGATCCATAGTAGGGAGGTAATGAGCCCCCCCCAGCTTGTCTAGAATCTCCCCAGGCCTAGGCCTGGGATAGGCATCGGACACGGTGATGGCATTAAGCTTCTGATAGTCCCCACAGAATCAGATCGACCCGTCTTTCTTGGGGACCAGCCCCATGGCTGAGGCCCATGGGCTGCTGAACAGATGGATCACCCCTAAAGCCAGCATGTCCTTGACCTCTCTCTCCAGGCTCTGGGCTGTTTTCCCAGTGACTCTGAACGGGCGACACCTGATGGGAGAATTGGCTCCCACCTCAGGGAAGAGATCCACCAGGGGGTCTTCCCCGTTCTCCTTCCGACTGTCCCTTACCAGATCCAGGGTCCCCTCACTCTCCTCCCACACAGCAGCTCGAAAGGGAAGAACCCGGTGGATTCCTGGGGCACTTCCCCGTACTGCAGGTGGGGCAGGTGCTTGTCCCCGTCCTGCGGATGCTGATTCATAAAAGCCCTCAGCATCATCCCCAGGGCCCCATAGACTCTCTCCACCAGCCCGTGGGATGGAGGGTCACCTGCAGAGGCCCAGGTGGGCCAGACCCCCCATTTCTCCCACCAGCCCTGGAGCCGGGTGACAGGACATTGGACCCCTGGTCTGTAAGGACCCCGCTGGGGACTCCCCCTCTGCTGAAGATGGTCAGCAGCGCGTCTGCCCTGGTGTCTGCCTTGGTGGAGGGCAGAGCCCCCGCCCCTGGGTAGCGGGTGGTGAAATCCATCACCACCAGGACGTATTTCTTCCCTGCCTGGGTTGCCTTGCTGAGAGGCCCCACTATGTCCATGGCCACCTTCTGGAAAGGTTCCCCTGTGATGGGCAGGGGTCTCAAGGGGGCTTCACCCTTATCCCGGCCTTCCCCCCACCCCGGCCAGGGTCGTAGGACCTGCCGTGCTGCCAGGCTGTGTCCCAGACTCCGGGCCAGTCACGGCTTCCTGGGGCCTGGATCCCCTGGTGTCCCGAGAGAGGCATCGTGGGCCAGGTACAAGAGCCTGCGGTGATACTTCTGGGGCACCCCCAGTGGCCTCCTGATCCCCCATGGTTCTACTTCCCCTGGGGGAACCCCTTCCCAGTACAGGAACCCCTTCTCCCACGGCAATCTGTCCCTGCAGCCTTCCCCACAGGGGTTTGCAGCCTGTGGCCAGCAAGTCCCCTCAGCCCCTCCAAGGAGGGATCCTCCTGCAGCTCGGTCTGGAATTCAGCTGCTGGGGGAGGGAGTGGGACCTGCTCCCTCTTGCGGGCTGGGCCTGGGGTCACAGCCCCGCTGAGCCCTGTCCCTGGTCGCTCCCTCCCTGCCATGGGATCACTTCCCAGCAGCGCCTCTGGACCAGGCAAACCTGGTTGGTAGCCGACCTGCCCTGCCTGTGGGTCCCCCCATTCAGCTGGGGTCTTACCTCCCCCCTGGCTCAGCGCTGCCCTTGCTGTCCCAGTGGGGTAGGCAGCGAGCTCTCTGCTCTCCTTACAGCTTCAGAGCCAGCGGGAGCCCCATCTCCGGTGTGCGAGGGGGCGGGGAGCATCTCTCTGTCCCACCCAGCCCCAGGGGTCTGGTTCCAGGCAGGCAGGTAGCCTGAGCCTAGCCGCTCCTCCCCGCTGCCAGCCAGGTCATCTGCATTTTCACTGACCGTTTCCCTCTCCCCCAATTGGTTCCCTGGATTCAAATTCAAACCCTTGGCAGTTACAGGAGCAGGGCCTGGATCCTGTCCCAAAGAGACACAGTCGCCCCACAACAGGGTCTTGCAGCTGGTATCCTGGAGAACCCCAAAGGCCAGCCAGCCCCACCCCTCCTGGGTCTGCACAGGGATCTGGGCCATAGGCAGGGCGAGGGGCTTCGTCCCTGGGACCCTCACCCAGCTCACCCAGCCCCTCAGCCTCTGAGGCTGCACCACCCAGGGCCTGACACCAGTTCTCTTTGTCCCAGGATCTCGCCACCCCAGGAATGTCTCCCCATTGACCATCACCTTCCTCTCCCACTGGGGGTCCGAGGGGCCTGGGCCCAGGAGACTCCACCCAGACATATAGGTTGGGGTCAGGAGTGGGAGCCTGTCCACCTCCCCACCCATCTGGCTGACGGAGTCTATGGCCTTGGGACCCAGCAAGGGAGCTAGACACCGGGGCTTTTCTGCAGGGTCCCCCTGGTTCAAATCGCCAGCCTGCTCAAAGGCAGTGAGGTGGCATCCACATCCCCCCGCCCCTCCTTAACCAGGGGCAGCAATTTAGTCTCGAGGTTCCCTGCAGAACTGGCCCCCCGGGGTCTATCCCCACTCATGCCTGGGAGGTCCCCTAGGCCTCTCCGCTCCCCCACCGCCAGTTCATGCTGCTGCTGCTTCTGCAGCTCTTTCTCGGGCTCTCGCTGTCTCTCACAGTCCTCTGGCTCTCTCGCACTCAGCTGTTTCGCACGCTCCGTGCACAGGGCACGCGGGGGAACACCTAGCCCGCACGGTGTCGCACACTCTGTGCACAGGGCGCACGGCTTCCCCGAAAACACGGGCACTAACGGCCCCGTGGGGTCCCTGGGGGCCAGTGGGGCTCAGCCAGGGACCCTGCCCTGGCAGATGTCCACAGGCTGGGTAGCTTCTCCCTCATGGAGTCGCTCAGCCCTGGCTGCCTTCTGTGGCCTTGCCCGGCCGTCAGTTCCTTTCCCCCACGCATCTGTCCTGCCCCCCTTCCCCCCAATATCCGTCCACTGCTCCAGAACCCCCCGGCCCTCAGCCCAGAGTGGGAAGGGCTCCCCGGATCCCCTCCCTCAGCACTCCCCTGCTAGCCACTGGGGTCACCTCTACAGAGGGGCAGGCCTGATACGGCAATTCTCCTAGCGACAGACCCCCAAACCATCGTCCCCCCCTGGGCTGGCCTGCGCAGGAAGCTGGGTGAGCAGTATCCAGAGGCCAGGGCACCCCCTACACCCCCACGGCTCCCCCTTGCAGCAGCAGCCTCCACCCCAGAGCAGGGGGGGGGTGAGTCCTGGCCAGACCCCAGCTGCCTCCCTGGCAATGTCAGTCCTTCTCAGCGCATGCCCCCCGCCGCAGGGTGCGGACACCATGTGTGCAGGGCACCCCTGGGACAGCCAGGAACCCCCCAACCTGCCCCCACCCTGGCGCCTCCCCATGGGGTATCCCCAGGGAGATGCCAGCATCTCGGCGGAGAGACCAGGGCCTCTGGGGTGAGGGGTGGTGTGTGTGTCAGGGGGCGGCAGTACAAGGGCTGGTTGCCCCAGCTGCAGCCAGCCCCCCCAGCCCACCACAGAGGGGGTGCTGGTGTGAGCCAGCCTGGCGCGCCCAGCGTGGACCAGCGAGGGACTGGGCCAGGCGGCTGCGCCTTGCGCTCTCCCACTGTCCCAGGTGGTGCCAGGCTGCCGTGCCGTGGGGCTGAAGGAGCCGTGGGCTGGGGTCGCAGGGGGTGCGGGCTCGGGGCGAAGGGCATCAGCAGGGCTGTGCGGTGGACCCCTATGCTGTGCAGTTGCAGCCAGGGCTTTGCCCCACATGCCCGTACGGACACCACGGTCCCTCCGCGGGCAGCCCCAGACGGCCCCGCCTGGCACTGGCCCCTCTAACCCCCTCCTCTCTCTCGCTCTCTCTAGGAAGCAAAACCCAGGGCGTGGTGCAAGGCGTCACCTCAGGTACCAGCTGCTCTAGTCCCCCAGCCCAGTGCCACGCGTGGGCGGCTGCACTAACGAGCTCAGGCTTATCGGCGGCTGTGATGTCACCGGCCCAAAGCCCCTTATGTAACGGGGGCCAGAACACGGGCTTGGGAGCTGCTGGGCCAGGGCTTGAAACCCAGCTGGGAGGAACGGTCTCAGGCTGCCTCATGGCCCCAGCCTGGTGGGGGGGCGGGATGAGTCTGCCCCCCAGGCACACACAGGGGTGGAGGGGAGGTGCCTGACCCCCTCAAGCTCGCTGGGGCTAGGAGTGCGAGCACAGGCCCGGGAGCCAGGCCCCCCAAGTACTAGCCCCAGCCGGGCCCTGCCTGGCAGCCGAGGGGCGCCACCCCCAGGCTGGGCCCTGTAACGCGGCTCCGCCTGCCTCTTCCAGTGGCTGAAAAGACCAAGGAGCAGGCATCCCAGCTGGGAGGAGCCGTCATCTCGGGGGCCGGGAACATCGCGGCTGCCACCGGCCTGGTCAAGAAGGAGGAGTTCCCCACTGACCTGAAGGTGAGTGTCCCCTGCAGCGAGCCGGGGGCTGCCGCCTCTGCAGGGGGACCAGTGGGGTTCTGCACCCACGTCCACAGGGTGGCTGTCAGGCCCTGCCCACTGCACCTGCCTCAGTTTCCCCTGTCTTCTGCCCATGAAAAGGAACATCATCTCAGGGGTGTTACACACACACACACCCCGGGCACCGCTGCAGTAATTCCCCAGAAGCCGGTTTCCAATTCCCCTCTGCCTCCCCACCCCTGCTCAGGGGATCCACCCTCTCACTCCAGCTCCCCGACCAAACAGGAGCCTCCCCTTCTCCAGGGAGACCTGCCCCAGCTCCCACTTCTCAGGGGCTCCCAGCTCTGGCCAGTTCTCACCAGCTTCCCCCGAGCTCCTCGCTGCCTCCTTCCCGCTAGGCCCAGATGCCCTCTCTGGAGCCCAGTGGGGGGCAGCTGACCTGGCACAGGTCAAGGGCCAGCTTGCCCTGTGGCAGGGAGTTCCCCAGGTGCAGCAGGGCCCAGTCTGTGCCAGGGGGGCAAGCCTCTGGAAGGTGGAAAGTCCAACTGCCAATCGGGTTGAGCCCCCGTGAGCCCCAGCCAGGCTGCCCAGCTGCCTGCAGACAATGAGCCCCTCAGTGCAGCTGGTTTGGCTTCCCCTGCAGCTGAACCCAGCCGGGGCGGGGTGAGTGAGGCCTGGCCGGCTTGGGAGCAGCAAGAGAAGCAGGCGGCCCTTCGCTGAGTGGGTGACTCCCCCGTCGCTGCTGGGTGGGAGGCCAGGATGGCACCACCGCTGTCTGGCAGGGAATTGCTGAGTGGGTGCGTGGGTGGTGCCCAGCCGGTGGAGAAGGGATGCGCTGGGATGCGTGCACAGGCGGATGGAGACAGGGGTGTGTATGGATGTATGTGGGCACGTGTGTACGTGGACATGTGTGTTTGGAAGGGTGTGTACATGCAGGGACATGTATGGACGTGTGCGTGCATGTAAAGGCCGTGTGTGGGTGTGTGCACTGTCCCGGCGTCCCCGGGCGATGCTCTGGAACTGCTCCCCATGAAGCCAGGCAGGACTCTGGGGAGTCTCCTCTCTGGGAGCAGCCTGTCTGCAGGACACACAGCTCACCCGGCTTCCCCCTTCCTGGGTCTGACCTCGGAGCATTCAGCCTCCTCTGCCCCTCCATGTGCTTCCCACAGCGAGTCCGCCCAGGCGGGGCTTCTGGGGGAGCCAGGGGGTCCTGCCCCCCAACTTCACAGTCAGATGTGACTCTCAGCCAGCCAGTAAAACAGAAGGTTTATTAGACGATAGGGACATGGTCTAACACAGAGCTTGTAGGTGCAGAGAACAGGACCCCTCAGCCGGGTGCATTTTGGGGGGCAGTGAGCCAGACAACCCCGTCTGCCCTTCACTCCATGTCTCCAGCCAGCCCCAAACTGAAACTCCCCCCAGCCCCTCCTCCTCTGGGCTTTGTCCCTTTCCCAGGTTAGGAGGTCACCGGATTCCTTTGTTCTCCAGCCCTTTAGCTCTCACCTTGCAGGGGGGAAGGGCCCAGGCCATCAGTGGCCAGGAAACAGGGTGTCGGCCATTCTCTGTGTCCAGACCCCTGCACACACCTGCCCTCTAGGGCTCTGCAATGATCATACACCCCCATCCCACCCCCTAGATACTTAAGAACTGCCTAGGGGAAACTGAGGCACCCCCACACTAATCAGAGGAAACATTAAGAACAGTCCCACTTCGTCACATGCATGTGCAGGGACGTGTATGGATGTGTGCATGTGAAGGCCGTGCGTGGGTGTGTGCTCGTGCAGGGACGTGTGCGTGTGAAGGCCGTGCGTGGGTGTGTGCTCATGCAGGGACGGGCACTGCCGTGGCTGCTCTCGCTGGAGCCGTGAGGTGCCCGACAGCTGCAGCCTCCGCAAGCCGAGTTGCCACAATGAGCTGTTCGCTTCCAGCTTATCCGAAAATAGCAACAGCTGAAACAAGGAGGCCAGGGCAGCGGGCAGCTCCGCGGGGAGGGCAGGGGAGGACGTGGCTGAGCCGCTCCTGGGGGCAGGGCAGCGAGCCCCAGCACAGGGCCCATGGGGCCCGAGGGGGCAGGCAGGGGGCTCTGCACAGGACCAGCCGCCGGGTGGAGCTGGACCCCTTGTGGGTCAGCAGGACCAGGCTGTGAGGGGTGCTGCCCCCTGTCCGAGGAGCCCAAACCCGTCACACAGGCCAGCATGGGGCAGCCAGCCAGGGCTGGAGCCCAGGGGCCCAGGGGCCCGGCCCATCCTGGCTCCCCCCCCACAACCCATGTCAGCACCAGGAGCCTGGTGCCCAGCACTGCCCCCAGCCCCTCTGCCCCCCATTCCTTGCAGCACCGCGGGCAGGGCCCAGCCGCCCCCTCAACCAGCCAAGCTCCGGGCTGCGGGACCCGGAGACCGGTGGGGCCGGGCCGGTGCCTTCGCTCAGTTGCACGGGGCTGGGCATGGGGGGGGCTGGCAGGGGGGGGCTGGCCCATGGGCTCCCTGCTGGGCCAGAGGTGTGGCTTATTGCCCACAATGCCCTGGGGCCCACATACAGCACAAAGGAGAGCAACAAATGGCCTAAACTGCACCCCCCATGGGTGTTCCTGCCCCCCCCACTGACCCCTGGCCCCAGATCCCTGGTGCCACCCCACCCCCACACCTCTGCCCCCCATCCCCCAGAGCCCTGGTGCCCCCACCCCTGCCCCCAAAAGCCCTGCTTCCCCCACCCCCACCCCTGTCCCCCAGAGCCCTGGGGCCCCCACCCCTGCCCCCAAAAGCCCTGCTGCTCCCCCACCCCTCTGCCTCCCAGAACCCTAGTGCTGCCACCCCCCCACCTCTACCCCCCCACCCCTGGCCCCCAGAGCCCTGCTGCCCCCCACCCCTCTGCCCTGGGCCCTGGAGGAGGGGCAGGTCCCCGGAGGAGGGGCAGGTCCCCACACTTGCTGGGGCTTTGGGGCCCATCCACCCTCTGGAATCGAACTGGAAGCCCAGGCCTGAGCAGAGGGGGTTGGGCACCTCCACAAAAGGGAGCGGCTGCGCCCTGGGAGGGGCAGCAGGTACCTGGCACCGGGCGTCCCCAAGCCGGGAGCTCTAGGGAGGGAGCACATGGGCATGTGGCCTGCCGCCTGCAAGCTCCAGGGGGGGCCAAGCCTGCAGCCCCCCAGCCAGATAGAGACTGAGCAGCACCAAGATGCACCTGCTGCCCCCGGAAATCCATTAGTAACCATGCATCAGTCAGAGCCCAGTCAGGAGTGAGGGAGCCCTGAGGTGGGATAGCCGGGGCTGTGGGTTGGCAGTGAGGGGCACCGGCAGGGCTAGCAGGGGGCTGCAGGTCGGGAGTGAGGGGCGCTGGCAGGGGGCTGCGGGTCGGGAGTGAGGGGCACTGGCGGGGCTGACAGGGGGCTGCGGGTCGGGAGTGAGGGGCACCAGCAGGGCTGGCAGGGGGCTGCGGGTCAGGAGTGAGGGGCACTGGCGGGGCTGACAGGGGGCTGCGGGTCTGGAGTGAGGGGCACTGCAGGGCTGGCAGGGGGCTGTGAGTCGGGAGTGAGGGGCACTGGCCAAAGCCCAGTAACACACGTCTCTGGGCCCAGCGGTGGGGCACCCCAGGAGCTGCCCCTGACACCCCCCTCTCCCCTGCAGCCTGAGGAGGTCGGGCAGGAGGCCGTGGAGGAGCCGCTGACAGAGCCCGAGGGTGAGAACTACGAGGAGCCGCCCCAGGTACGTGGGCAGGGGCACGGGGGAGAGACACTGCAGAGCAGGAGCCCAGATGCCCGGGGGATGGGCTCGCCTGGCCCATGGCACCAGCCACAAAGCGCTGACCCTCTCCCTCCCACATTGGTGCCCGCACCCTGGACTCCACAGCAGCTTCAGCCCTTCGGCCTGGGCGGCGTGTGGCCCTGGGTACACAGACCCCTCCCCTGACACGTTTTGGTGGGTCTCCCCTCCGCAGGCCCAGCCCTGACCCAGGGGCCAGGCCAGGGGGTCAGAACCTTGGGGCACTGGGCGCAGCCACGGGCCTGCCCTGGACTCTCTCCCACGCAGCCCATCGGAGCAGGGACGGGAGCCCAGCCCCAAGCCCCTCGCAGCGTTGGGAGCTCCTGGGCAGGGCAGGCTGTGGGGGCCAGGGCCCAGTGGGGCTGCAGTTCTTTGTGGCTGGGAGCTAGTATAGATAGGCCCCGTTCCGCAGCCCCTCTGCACCACGGGACTGTCCCACCCACTGAGCTGGGTAACACCCAGGCTGAGCGTAGTGGGACCCCCCAGCCCCAGCGACACCAGCTCACACCACACCCTGCCCTGTTGGAGGGGGAAGGCGCCAGCCTGGTCACAGCCCCAGGTTGGAGCAGGCTGTGCTGGGACAGATGTCACCCGCGTGCCCTCAGGCCGCTCGAGGGGGCAGGCCCAGTCCCTTGCCCCGCTGGCCTGAGGAAAAGCCCCGTGGCAGGCACTGCCCAGCCTGGCCGGTGCTGGTCTCATGTCTTCACAGCAGCCCCCAGCAGGGCCCACTCCGGGGCCAGGGCGTGGTCAGAGCACGCGGCGCCCGGCGGGTCTCGGCTCCAGGGGCCGACAGGGCACCAGTCGGGGCCCGCCCAGGGTCTCTGCTGACCTGCTCAGTGGTGGCTGCTGAGGTGCCAGGGCAGCTGGTCCCCCGCCTGCACGGGGGGCAAGGGCCCTGGGGCAGCCCCTGGCCAGGCCCAAGCTTGCAGAGCTGCTGCCCGCGTGAGGCTGAGCTGGGTGCCTTGGCACGGCCCAGTCACCGGCTCACGCCAGGCACGGTCTCTTCTCTGCAGGACTATCAGGAGTACGAGCCGGAGGCGTAATGGCCGCGCCCACCCCGCCACCTCCACCAGCAGCACAATAATGACAGTACCCCCTCGTGCCCCCCCCCGGCAGGTGCCGGCACAGGGGGCGATGGCGAGGACCCTCCACCCCGTTAAGTCACAAGTTCTTCCTGCAGCCCCGCTCCCAGGGGCCTCGCTGGAGGCCGTGTTGCTGTATCGTGTCCTGTAGTGCTCAGAGGACTCGTCGGCCAACCGCCCGGAGCCGTTTGGGTGGCCGAGGCCCGGCTTGTCGCCCTGCGTCCCTCCCAGTGCCATAAGCCCGGCCGGCCCCGTGTCCGTCCCCCGCATGCTTAGTGCAGCCGAGCGGCCTGGCCGCCGGGACCCTGGTGCGGCGCGCGCCCCCAGGGCTGCTGTACATTCGTTTGCACGCGCCTCACGCCGAGTCTGTTCCTGTCTTTGTGGAACTTTTTTTGATATTCGGCTGGATCGTTTATGCCCTTGTGACCCCCCCCGTCGTGTCGGTGTTCACCAAACAACGTCCCAAGGGCCCCCCCCCCCCCGATGCTGTGTTGTGATGTGGCATGGATCCCCCCCCCCCCGTCCTGCGTGTGCGATTCGGGGCAGCTGCCAGTGACACAGCTGCCCCGTCCGTGAATAAAGCCAGCTCTCGTCTGTAGCTGCTGGTGCGGGTCTGTTGTTCCTGGGGCAGGGTCATGGTGTGTAACCCACAGGGCTGGGCATGGGGTCACACCCCACAAGGGTTGCCAGGCACTCGCCTCCAGCCAGGGGCTTCTGAGCTAAGCCCCTGCCCCAGGCCAGCGGGCAAATCACCATGCTGAGCCCAGCTCCTAGGGGACACGCTCACCTGGGCCTCTTCCCTGAGGGGCAGGGGGAGCGTGCCTCAGAGGCCCCAGAGCCAGTCCCAGCCTCTACCTCATGCTGCAGGGTGTCTTTGTCCCCCAGCAGCCCCCAGGTGCATACAGTCAGCACCCTGCAGGGTCCCCTCAGCTCACCCACAGGGATCTCCCCTCCCAGGCACCTTGCTCCAGCTCTCAGAAGAGCCCATGGCTGGTGCATGGGGACGGGCTGGACCTGGCTCAACATGAGGCCCCATGGGCAGCTGCTCTATGGGGAAGGGCCTGGCCAGGTGCACACTGTGGGGGGCTGGCTCTGGGCCCCTCACCACGTGGCCCAGCTCTCACAGGTCCGGGGACAGGCTGCCTGGGACCCCAGCCCCAAGGGCTGTAAGTGCATGGAGCCCCACAGTGCATAGCCCCAGGAAGCAGGTGGCCTGACTCGCCTACATAATGTGGGGGGGAAGAAGCAGGCATGAGGCTATGCAGTGACATGCTGAGCATCCGGCAGCAACCCAGGCCAAGAACCCAGGAGTCCTGGTGCCCCTAGGCCCTGCCGCTGCCCCGTAGCTGGGTTACATGCTCCTGAAGGGCTCAGGGAGAGGGGGCCGTGGATAGACACAAGGGCGATGGGGTCTGGCCAGAAGAATGCTGCGAGGCCGTCAGGGGGTTTTCAGGGCTGGTGCGGGCTGCCCAGGACCCCACCTGCCAGGCCATGACGCAGGCACAGGAGAGGGGGGGACATGCTGATGCAGGAGGTGGGGGTTCAGCAAGCTGCAGAGGTCGGCACCCCACTGCCATCTGGGCAGGTGCCCAGACAAGGGGGCCAGGTGCCAAGAGTACGTCTCCACAGGCTGCGTGTGAGGGGGGACCCCCCTTAACCCTGCGTGGTCTGGGCCCCAAGGAACACGCCGTAACACACCAGGCACAAGGAGCAGAGGTGGGGCCCTTCTCTCACTCCTGGGCAGCCTTTATGGTCCACACCTAGGAACAGGATAGTGCCTTCACACCCACAATTCAAGCTGGGGCCTTCGCAAGAGGCACACGTGGCCCTCGCACGGCTCAGAGCTCCTGCCTGCGGGGGTCGCTGCTCTGGGCCCTCGTCATCCCCAACTCAGCAAACGCCAGCCAGCCCCGAGGGCAGGGCGCAGCCCCGAGAAAGGGTGAGGCTGTGAAAACGGGGAACCCAGGGCAACCCGCCTAGGTGGGGACAATGAGCCCGCACTCGCACTTCAATGGAGGCCACCGCTCTTGGGTCCCCCACCCAAGTTACATCCCCCAAGCCAGGCCTGCTGGTCACCTTCCCCAGCACAGAAGGGAAGGGGCACCAGCCCACAGCCCCACCTCACAACTGGTTTGCTGCTGCCTTGCAATCCCCTCTGCAGCATTTCTGCCAGCCTGCAGAGCTCCCCGCAGCGCCCTGGGCCCCAGCTCCCGCCACAGAGCAAGAACGGGCTCCCTCTGCCCTGGAACGCAGACAGGGCCCCGGGGGAAAGCCCTGCCAGCAGCCAACGGTGGACACAGGCAGCAGCCAGACTCTGCACGTTGGTTCCATGTGCAGGAGCCACCCGGAGCCCTTACCAGATCCCTGCAGCCCTGCAGCCAACACACCCACTCAGCAGCCATGGGGCCAGGCAGTTCTGGCACCCAGGGGTTACCAAAATCAGATGGACCCTTTTCCCACCCAAGGGGCACCTGCTCTCAGGGGGACAAGACTAGAGAAGGCGCGGTCCAGGGGAAAAGATGGAAATGTCCCAGAAAAACACAGGGGTTTTTCTAAGGCCCAGTCTGGAAAAATTGGAAATTTTGGGAAAAAGTGAAAAGAAACTTGTGTGAAAAGTTCTCTCTCCAGAAGAGCAGTGAAAGAGGGAGGAAAGACAGCAAACCCTGAGCTATGCCAGCACTTCCAAGAGTACTTTAACTGCTGAAGTTACACTGGACCATACGGTGGCTAGGTCTGTCTAGAATCAACACTCAGGGCACATACGGCGGACAACGCACTGTTAAGGAGTCCAGGGTTGGCACTATAAAGCGTGGCTCTAAACTCAGAGTTACTGCTGGTCCTTAACCTTGTGCTCTGGTAGCTCTGCATGTTAGGGGGATACTCATTCTCTAGAGCCAGGACCTCCTCCTATGGCTGCAGGATGACAGCGGGTCCGGTCTATCTACATACTGGTGCTGAGCCCACGGGCTGGAACCTTCCTCTTTGTTTACATCAGTATTGAGGTTTTCTATTTTCAACATCTGTTTTTTTTTCATATTTGCCATCGGGCAAAACAAACCCGCCTAAGTGCTCCCAGTAAATGGTTTATGGAGAGACAATGCATGGTGGCACTCGCAGAACTAGGTGACCCCAACGCAGCCTCGGCAGCGGCTCCCTCTGCAACGCAGGAGGGCTGAGGTTGGAGCCACAGGGACAAACATGCCCTGACCCCCACCACCAGCACTTCTCCTTCTCTCCCCCCGCCCCCCGAGAGTCTCTTTCCGGGAGCTTTTCGGCAGCTGTGCCCTTAGCCTGGGGAGGGAGAGCCAAGGCCAGGGGACAGCTCATGTCAGTATGCGAACCCAGCTTCATTGTACACCCTGAACACCTTCTCGATGGCGCATAGGTAGGCAGCGGTTCTCTGGTCCAAGCCCAGGTTGTACCTCGTGGCCATGTTCATGATTTGCTAGAAAACAAACAATACGCAGAGGCACAAGGGCTGAGCTGGACACCAGGTGGCTGAGAACCGGGAGGGCTGGGGGGGGGGGGCGGTGAAATCCAGCAGCTGCCAGCAAGCCTGGGCCCAGGACCATCCCTTCTGCAGCTCCAGCAGTGAGCCGGGGCAGGTCAGACCCAGGGTTTCAGTGGCAGTGGAGAGGCCGTGCCTGGGAAAATGGGGTTTTGGGCTGGCCAAGCAGGGCTCTCCCAGTCGCAGGAGAAGCCTGCACTCAGCAGTTCGGACGGAACGATCCTAGCGCTGCTAATGCACCTGGTAACTGGGACCCAGGGCCTGTGTATGGGCCACGTCCTTGGCAGGTTATACAAGGCACCCCCCACGGCAGCGCATCTCCAGCGGGAACCTCCCGTCAGCCTTCAGTCTGGGCGGCACCCAGTTCTACCCACAGACGTTCCATCGGCTTCCAGCCCTCGACAACGGCAGTGGCAGGCCGTCAGGCACTTCAGGGTGAGGCTGCATCTTGCTCAGCCAGCTGCTCCCCATCCAGGCACAGCAGCGAGAACACGCGTGGGTGAGGCCTGGGAGGGGCTGGACACCAGCGGGGCCTCACTCAGCACCCAGGGGCTTGCCGGAGCCCCAGGCCGCTCCCAGGCCCCAAGACTGTGGTTAGAGCAGCCCTGAGATCGCAACTGGTCAGAGGCACTTGCGCTGCCAGCTGGGAGCTCCCAGGCCTCACACCCTGCGCCGATAACAGTGCAGAGGCATGGCCAAGGGAAGCTCTTTACTCGGCTACAACCCGGGGGGGGCCCCACAAGAAAGGGAACGGAATAAACTGCTGCCCTGGCACTGATCCCCGGGGCCCCGGCTCGGAGCAGCTCCTGGGCGCGCCGAGGTGTGCAGGCCCCGTATGAATACTAGACGGAACCCGCACAACAAGAGGGCTAGGACTCGGACCCCAGGGCAGTCAGGAAGAGGGACCTGTTCCCCCCAGGTGTCACCATAGCTGATGCTCAGAGGCACATACCTGGGCCGAGCGGTCCATAGTGTAGGCCAGACCCGAGTGCACGATATCCTTCTCGGAGGCCCCCTGCAAGGGGAAAACAAATGAATCCCTGGACAGGGATGAGCTGAGCATCACCCCCCTTGCATAGCCGGACACAGCCTTCTCAGCTCTCCTCCTCAGGGCGAGAGGCAGCCCACTCCACGGAAGGGCTACCAGCGCAGGCTGGGTGGCCATGAGGTGAACCCTGTGGGCCGGGTCGTCCTGGGCAGGCTGCTGCGGCGCTTCTCCGGGGACACTCCCTGGCTCAGTGGGTTGTGCCCAATTTACACCAGCATGAACCTGGTTGGCCCAGGTCTCAGATCACTGTAACTTGTGCTCCGTCCCTCGCTAACCCCAGCCTGAACCTGAACCAAGCCCAGACCCTGGGAGTTCTGCAGGGCTCTCGTTGCTCTAACATCGACTCGTCCCCATCCACTTGAGCACCAGCCCCCCCTTTCCAAAGACTGGTCCCTACGGCCTCGGCGTCAGCCTCGTACTAGTACAGAGCCCAGCTCCAAGCCCGCACCACTGGGTTTCCAACACACCCCTGGCTACAGGAGTTCCAGATAGCCAAAGCGGGGGCTGCCTACAGCCCAGGGGGCCAGCATCTCCCTTGCGACAGCCCCATCTTTGCCATGAAGCTCAGCCGGCTGGGGCCTGCAGGCTGCACTTCCCGGCCTGAGCCCTGCCTTTTATCCCTCACCCTTCTGGCCATTTGTCCTTAAAGGGTTCAGGGAGTCAGGACAGTCTAGTCCCAGGGCCGATTCATCCTTTCCACACCAGTGACACTGGGGCAAAGGGGCTGCAGAGCTGGCATAAGGTCCTCCCGGGAACCCCAAGCCTGCTCTGTGCCTCCCGCACAGCAGCCCCAGGCGCTGCAGTGTTCTGTGGGGAGTTGGGGTCAGGACTGCAGCCAGGGAATTCTGCACCCTTGCGAAGACCCACGGGCCCTTGCAGCAGGGGCACACCTTGGGCAGCCCTCAGAGCTGTCCTGGCCTGTCCCATGTCAGCACCCACTGCACCCCAATAAGGGAGGTCTCTGTCCCTGCACCAGCACCAGCCTGGATCTGGCCCACAGCTCTGGAGTGAGGCTGCCCTTTTGCCAGCACCAGAGCAGCATGCAGAGCAGACAAAGCCTGGACTTACTGCCACCCTGGCCTGGAACTCCGGGGAGGGGACGATGGGGATCTCGCCGCTGCCCTTCCCAAGGGTCCGCTCCAGGCTCTGCTGGACAGACATCAGCAGGTGGTAGTTGGAGTCCCACTCGTACTTGAAGGTCAGGCGGCCATAGCTCACGTGGTTCAGGTTCTTCAGCCACTCGAAGAAGGAAACCGTCACGCCGCCCGCGTTCACATACAGGTCCTGTGAGGGGAGAGGCCGTGATGGAATAGACCCTCCTGTGGCTGCGGGGAGGCCCCTCAACACACAGAGCAGAGTCCCGATACATCCGCTCCAGAGCCATCCTAGGGCAGCGGCTGCAGGCAGGTCCCTCCCTCCTCCTGCCACCCGTCTCATGGGAGAGGAACTGGAGTCGCATGGGGAACCGCGTGCAGGCAGCACCTCGCTTTAGGTCCCCTTCCGACTGCTGACCCGGCTCCTGCCAGAATCGCTGCACCTGCACCAGGGGCTGCTTCCAGCAGCAGGTAGGAGGGGGCGGTGACGCTGCAAGGCAGGCCCAGGGAGGAGGAGAGATCCAGAGCATCTGGTTTGTTCACACGGAGCTGGGCAGAGCTGTGCAGCCTGGGCACATTCCTGGCCCGCTTTTGTTCTGCTCCCTACGCGCCCCCACACGGACTCAGCCCCTGGGGACTCCCAGACCACTGCCACCGAAGGGTCACCACCACGCTGGCTGCACGGGTGTTCTGAAGCTGATGAAGTGCAGACTCCTGTCAGCTTGTCCCCAGGCAGCCAGCCCCCAGAGCAGAAACAAGCCCTGGACGAGGGCCCCCCTGTTCTCATAGAGCCACAACCATGGGAGAGACCCTGCAGTCCCCCCATGTGTGCCGAGTGCAGGGAACAAAGCTGGATTTCATGGCCCAAACTTGAGGGAGCAGGTCACACTGCCCTGGGCAAACCTGGGGCAAACTCAGTGAGCCCTGAAATGGACTTGAGATCAGGCTGGGAAACGGGGCACAAGGCAAAGCAGAAAACCTGGCCCCTCCCTGGCATGCAGCTGGGTACAAGGGAGAGCTACTGCCACTCGCAACCAGGTGCTTGTGTGGGCAGCACCATCATCGATACTGAGGAACCTCGCAGCAACCAGCGGAGCTGCTGCGGATTTACACCAGTGGAAGTCAGAACCAAGTTTGACCCTGTGGGCTCAGCCCTGCCTCCATTACCGGGCAGTTCCCCTGGCACCCTTGGCACAGAGAGCGGAGCTGGGCGCTGCGAGGGAATCCGGGGAGTAGCACGACGGGGCGGCGTAACTGAGCAAGGCTCTCGCTCCTAGGCCAGAGCGAGCCCTGACAGAAGCCCGAAACAACGTCACGGCGCAGGCCACTCTTCCGCATGCGCAGCACCTGCCGAATCAGCATATGCTGCCCACCCTCCCGCCAAGTCCCGCTTGTGCGCCATGGCTGGATTTGGCCTTACAGCATCATGTCCATCTGACAGCTCTCAGCAACTGCCCTGGCCCTGGCCAAGCCAAGCTGGGAAAGAACCTTCACGGGAGGGGAAGTCTGCTCAACCATGCCTTGCTAGAGCATCAGGGCTGAGCAGGAACCACCATGGGGCCAGGGAGAGCAAAGGAAAGTTCTCCCGCCTGTTTACCCCACGCCCTGGGCTGACTCGCAGGACCACAGTCCCCGGCCGTACCGGGATGACGAGGATATTTCTCTGCAAGAAGATCTCATGGGCCGCTGGTGTCGTGGGGCCGTTGGCAGCTTCGGCGATAATCTGTGAAGCACAAACGAAGGCACGAGGCAGCCAGTGCCCAGAGGAGGTGGACACAGGGCTGCGGTCACGATGGGAGACTCGCCGCAGCCTTGTTCCCTACTCTCAACAAGGGTTATTTCCAGCAGCCCTTTCCCAGGGTGCTGAGTACCAGTGGGCAGCTGCTCAGCCTGCGCCAGCTGAAGGCCAGATTGGTAACTCACCAGAACCCAGGGCTGCCCAGAGTTTGTGTAAAGTACAGACAACGGCAGAGTTCGGGCCTGGAGCGACTGCAAGTTCCAGCATGTCCTGCTCCACCGTGAGCCACGTGGCAGAGATCATGCCTGCTGGGACCTGTCGTCTCCATGGGCTGCACCTGGCCAGCAGGCCCATGCTCTGGCTACCCCGAGGTACTGCATTTGTTTGTTGCCTAGTGGAGAGTGACAAGATCCCCATGTGCAGAGGATACCGATCTCCTTCCTCCTCTGAAATGTCTCTCCCCACCGGTGGTTTCCTGACCCTTTTCTTGCCCTCTGGCATGGCCCAAATGGCTGCACTGGGGCCGAGGGTTAGCTTGCTGAGAGGCGCACAAGAGGCTGCTCTAGCAATTCCCCGCTCCCTCCCCGCACAGTGAGACGTGAGGTGTTGACTCACCACACACGCTTGATACCACTCAGGTTTCCATAAGGAACGTTGACCGTGGCAACTGGTGCCTGGACACCGTAAGAGCGACTCATCACCTCTGCCTCATGCTCCAGCACCATGGGGATGCTTATCTGTCTTCAAATGAACCCGTCTATCTATATTCCCTCTGAACAATTGCAGAGAGGAAGGGCCGGCTCAGAGCACAAGGTGCTGCACGCTGTATGTTGACAGTCAGTCTACACTGGGTCATTTATATACAGAGAGCCAAATTCTGCTCCCTGGTACCTAGGACAGCTCCCGTTGCTTCAGGCGCTCTTGGATGGGGAAGGGGAGCATTCTTTGTACTGCGTACCTTGGCTTGGACCCGATGCGCGTTATCTTTCGTGAGCTGCTTCTCGATAGCAGCTGGGATGAGGATGTCACAAGGTACTTCGAGGACGCTGCCATCATAAGGCTCTGCTTTGGGAAAGCCAACTATGGTGCCATGTTCCTGGAATGACAAGGCCAATTCAGCAGTGCCCAGCCAGCTGCTTTGCAGAGCCCCTTCTGTAAGTGGCCCACAGCTGCACCACAGCACCCGTCCATGGCTGGCTTCTGCTGGCGTTTGTAGACGCCTGAGCCATAATCTACAGGAGAAGAGAAGAGAGGAGCTGTCCACTCCCCACATTTCTTCTGCATCTGGAGCTGGGCTGGACACTCACACACCACCCCCCATTAAGACCACATTTTTGTGGGTCTGGATTGAACCTACCTTCTTATAGTCTTCTAGTTCCTTGGGATGGATCCCGCTGGAATTGTAAATAGCGCCATCCACCTCCCCGACACACACACAGCATGCTCCATAGCGGTGCAGGTACCTCATGGTGTGCAGGCCCGTGTTGCCAAAGCCCTACAAGAAGAGAGGTCAGAGAGCCGCTAAGTGGGGGAATCCAAACACACATGAAAAAACGAACCAGGAGTTCCACACTGGGGCCCTTTAAGGTGTTTGGGGCTGGGCACTACTGGCTTTGAAAATGCCTAACAGCCATCTCATAGTATCCAGGGGCAAGGCACTCAGGAACGTGTGGGCTAAGAGCCAGTAATGAGATTCAGTCTTTGGAGGGCTGCTGGCTACTCAGCAAGTTCTGGCACTGTAAGTGGCCCGCTGTGGACGAAAGGACCGGTCACGCAGCAGCCTCGGCATTCACAATCACTTCCACAGTGTGCAGTCATGACAGGTTAACTGCTTCTGAGCAGGAAGCTATAGTGTTCTGTTTTACGAGAAAATGGACCCAGAAAAAAAACCAAGACCAGCTCCTGCAATGGGCTTTCCCCCTGGATGGTCAAGGCAGGCTAGACATTAGCTGAATGTTAGACAGACCTTTTATCCTCCTATGCTGGTTCAATTAACTTCCAAGAAACCAGAAGGAGGAAGAATTATTGCAGGTAAGGGAGAACTCATAATAGTGGGGTTCTTGGCTATTAGCAAGGATGCACAAAGATGCTGTCTCCAGCTCTGTTTGCCAGAAGCTAGGAATGGGCGACAGGAGATGGATCACTTGATGATTCCCTGTTCTGTTCATTCCCTCTAGGGCACCTGAAATAGTCACTGACAGCAGACAGGATACTGGGCTAGATGGACCTTTGGTCTGACCCAGTGTGGCCGTTCTTATGTTCTTCCCCTTAAGGCAGGTATCTTTGCCCCACCTGGATCCTAGCTCAGCTGCTGGCCAGGGTCAGGTTCTTAAAGCAAAGCTGAAAACCAATTTCTTATTTAGCAAAAACAACTTCCACAGAAAAACTATAAAGATGAAGCAGCCAAGGGCCTCTCCTCTCTGCTTCATTAGCCCAGTAAGTTAATTAGAAAGTGTTCACAATCCCTTTGGAGATTGCTCAGAATAGTTAATTCAATAGAGGTGACTCCTGGAGCCATCACTTCCTTGTACCATCTCAGCTTGGCTGGCAGAGTTCTGTGGCCTGAGGCACGGACTCTCACAGGTCACGGCATATTTCTCTTGGAATGAAGAAGCAGCTGGGAGGCAACGAGCTTCACGTCCCACAGAAAGGGAGCTCCATTCGTAATGGATAATCAGAAAAGAAAAACCAATGCCCAGCAGCAGCCCTTTCCCAGTCAAGCATCACTCCCATACAGGTGGTCACCCTGCACGAAGCCCTTCATTTCAGATGCTGAAGAAACAGGTGTGTGCTTGTCACACAGCTAGACAGACCCGAGCCCTGAATGTAAATGGACACAGTGCACCACTCACAATGGTCAGCTGAACGTGAAAGAGACCAGGCTTAGAATGCCTGGACAACATGTGCCGACCAGGCTAATGATCAACCATGTCTTTTCAGATTCATCACCCACCAAATTCCAGCCCAGAAACAGCAGGGCGCTAAGTACAATGCAGGTGAGCCACACCTTCCTCAGTTGTTGATTAAAACATGACAAATGTATTCCAACCAGTCTTCAGCAGCTCCACCAGAACAATCCCTGCTAGGCAGTGTAGATGCTAGATCTGGCAGGACATACCATGCCAGTTTCACTGCTGCACACAGGCTACAGTGCGTTTGCATTTGTGGGTATTAGTAAAATAGCAACTTGCCTAAAATGGACCATGTAAAGCAGGGGGAGTGCCGGTAAGTGAAGGGACTGTTTTACAAACACGCAGAAGACCTCTCCAATTCAATATTGGATTTGGGAACAGGAGTTTTAGCACATTATGTTTTCAGGACCCCAGCCTTCCTGCACAGTCTGAGAGCAATGGGCATCAGTGACCGGAGGGTCAATCCCCAGCGTTGCTACGCAGCTTGTGTGGGATATTGCTGGCAGGCTCTCCTAGGTACCACAATGTGGGGAGCAGAGAAAGGCCGGGAAGTCTGATAACATTGTTTCCACTGGTCCATACATTTGGGTGTACAGGGCACGGCAGGCTCCGACAGACATACGGACTATGCTCACACTAGAAACGCTCCAGGGGCGCCTGCATTCTCAAAGGAAACCTGCACAACGCTTTCCAAAGACGAGCCTCGGAACTTCAGTTCGTAGCTCTGCTAGACACAAACTCATGGACCGAACACACATAGGATTTATGGCTTATTACAACCATCTGTAACCCACTCACCCCCCACCCCTTCTTTCTCCTCTATGCCTGGAGAGATGTTAACAGGCCACTTCAACTTAAACGGTCCCTTGAAATGTGTGTTACCTACCTATGCAAAGCAAATTTGTTCCACCTTGTCTTTAGCTGTGACGCTCAGAGCACCTTTCCCAGACCCGCAGAAGGGCTCTGTTTCAGAGTAACAGCCGTGTTAGTCTGTATTCGCAAAAAGAAAAGGAGTACTTGTAGCACCTTAGAGACTAACCAATTTATTTGAGCATGAGCTTTCGTGAGCTACATCTGATGAAGTGAGCTATAGCTCACGAAAGCTCATGCTCAAATAAATTGGTTAGTCTCTAAGGTGCTACAAGTACTCCTTTTCTTTTTGAGAAGGGCTCTATGTAGCTTGAAAGCTTGTCTCTTTCCCCAACAGAACTTGGTCTAATAAAAGACATCACCTTCCCCACCTTGTCTCTTATACCTGAATATGGCCAGACACAAGGAGAGCCTTTTAACAACTTGGTGCCTGTGTAAATAGGTTCAGAAGGAACACAACCATGGGACACAAATATCACAGGACCAGAGTGAACTTCCTACACCAGAGTCCAGAGATGCTATTTTCCTGAGCTTTGGCTAGGGAGACTCGGCTCCCAGGCCACAGGCTTCTTCATCATCCTGGAAAGGTTTTTGTCAGAGAACTGGGTGAGGAGGGACTGTGAGCGTGAGTAATGCTGCCAGAGGCAGTCAGCACATTAGCACTAGACGCTCCAGGCCACTTTGATGAACCCAAAGCTCAGGAGCTGTAAGTGCTCCATTGCCATCTGGCAGGATAAATGCTATGACATCCAGCAAGACAGAAAGCTGGGCTGATTCTGCAGGCAACGTTTGGAAAAAATGAACCACCGAGCTGGATCAGCAGAGTCGGAGTGTAGCAGCATTTGCCAAAGAGTGAGTCGGCAGCACCATGAGAAGAGGGCAGAGTTATCTGAGACACACAAGAGGGAAGCATTTCACCATGGTTACGAGGCAGGCCCTCCACTGGGATCTGCGGGGCAGAGACAGGAGGGAAGGTGGAGAGAGATGCAGAGCAGCCAGAGAAGGCAAGCTGCCAGGTTGACTGCACACAGACACATCTGGCTAAATCAGGCTTCCCTCACTTCTCACCCAGCACAAAGACACTTAAGGACACCAGTCCTACAGCGGCCCATGTTAGGCAGTGGGGCTTTGGAGACAGACCCACCAGGGTGGAGGCACAGAGTTACATAACATGTTTGTGCATAACACCTTTGATTTTCCAAGGTGCTCAGCACCCAAAGTGCCCACTGACTTCAACTGCACTTGTGGGTACTTTCCCCTCTGAGAAGTGGACCCTGGCTTACATGCAAAGCCCTGTGAACTCCTGGGTTCCATGGAATTCTCCCCAGGCCACAGAATCATGCTCCAGAATCTCAGCTTCTTTAAAAAAAAAGAAAAGACGTTTCTAGCTCTTGTGGTTGCAGAGATAGCCTTGAAAACATGAGCCGAGTGCAAACCATGCAGTCCGAGTTCCTACAGTCTGCAACCACTGCCTGCCTGAGTCTGCAGAGAGCCTGAAACAACAGCTCTAAGAAGTGCTAACCACCCCATTAATTTGGAACTGGGACCTGTGGACTCCATAGTTCCATAATATGGAAGATTCCCAAGATGCAAAATTCACCATTTTGCTCTGGCTGGGCACCTGGTATTTTGTTCACCACCTCCCTGCCCTGCTGGGACCTGCTGTAGCTGTATCTTTCACTGCAGATTTCCTCAAGAGGGGACGCAGGATTACATCATGTGCTCTCTGCACTATTCCACAAATCCAAGCACGGGGGTCAGGAGGCTAGAGCTAGCATCCAGCCTGCTGCCAGGGAGCTGACCCGCTGAAGCTAGCTACAAGTCCCACTGCTTCCCTAGTTCCTACAGACAGAAGGAGATTCTCTGCTGCATTTTACATCCATGAGCCATCACTGCATGTTTAAGAGAGCTGGGGCGCGTGGGCATGAGAGGTGCTGCATGGCGGTAGAACATATTAAAATAAAACAGAAAGCCATTTGAGATTTACTGAAGAGCATTACAGAAAATGCCAGGGATTAATTATGTATTAATTATTACTAATAAGTTAACACTGGTGTATTGCTTTTCACAAAATGCAGGGGTTCCTGCAGCAGACTCTGGTTCCGAACATGGGGTCTTGCTTATTTCTGCATGTACCTGATGTGTGACCCTGGGAGTGGCAGAGCTGCAGGCACCGAACTCTGAACATCTGGCCTTAGTGTGTAATCAACATGCAACCAGCTACTGCGACATATTTTGTTTCCAAGGTATTAGATGCGTAGCAAGCTGCACTGGGATGTTCCACGGCACGGGTGGAGGGAGAGGCTAACACAGGACGCTGCACCAACCCACAGCACAATCCACAGAGCCGCAGGGTGTCAGCTGTTGAGGCCAACTGTCTTCCCATCTGGAGATGGTTTGTGTTCTCAACGGCAGACAAGAGGGTTGGGAGATAAATGTCAGGCAGCACTGCTGTAGCTGAGCCTGAAAGCCAAAGGCTCATTCATCGACATCCATCTGTCTGCGTGGAAGGAGGATGCACAGCAGCTGATTTCCGCTGGGAATGGAGTGATGGCGACAATGAAGACCACAAGAAAACAAGCCTCGTTTACAATGTTATGGCTCTGCCCAGTGCTTACCTGCAACACAAAGGTCTTGCCAGGGAAACCGGGGCTTAGGCCAATGAGGTTCATATAGAGAGTGGTGTTGATGTAGTTCTCAATCCCACGCAACAGACCACGGCCTGTGGCAGGGACTCTCCCATGGATTCCTCCCTGACTAATAGGCTTCCCTGTCACACAGGCATGGGCATTGATATCCTACAATTCCAAACAGAAGAACAAAGGTCAAGACCTCGTCTCACTCGACTGGTCCAAGGCCCATTAGAGTTCAGACTTTCCTTGACCCACGGGTGCCCAGCCCAGTCAAAGATAAAGCAACTTTACTGTCAACCCTATTTTAGCACTAAACCCAGCTAGTCTGCACCATCCCAATACACCGAGCCCAACCTCAGCGGGAGGTCACCCGACAAGCCATGGGAATGTACCACCTCCCTGACAGCAGCAGTATCTCAGCGGGCTATATGACAAGCCAACATTACCTTGTACCCGAGAGTGTGGGAGTAGGTGTCAGCAATCCAGGACATCTCCCTTTCCCCTGTATTTATGTCAGGAGCAGCAACATCAGTTCCAGGCCCTGCCAGGAATAACAGATCTGTCAATTCTGGTTCCTTCTCAGTTCGGTCTCTTGGTTCAAACAAATCACAGTACCTGCACTTCTGAAGGGCCCTGGGATTATAAGGCCAGCCCAACACAACCCACTGTTGCCTTTAGATACAGCTAATGATCTTCCGTCTGCAACGTGGCATTTCCTATCCACTCCGGTCACAGCCTTACACAGCTTCACTGCCCCTGGGCTTTGCCATGACTCTTCCCAACCCTCACACACCCATGGTGACTCCAAGAGTCTTTGCTGTGTGACGACTCTCCCTTGATCCATGTCACATGCTGAGGGAGAAGGAACTACAAAGCTTCAGATTCCATATACACACCCCTGGCTGTCTAGGCCAGAGGAATCTCGATGGAATGCAAAGGTCACAATCAGTGGTCTGGTATCGTGTTATTTGTATTACCATAGCGCCTAGGAGCCCAGCCAGGGACCAGGACCCCCAGTGCGAGGTGCTTTACAAACACAGAACAAAAAGACGGGCCTTATCCCAGACGTTCTGCAGTCTAAGTGTAAGCCAGGTGAAAACAAGTGGATCCAGACAGACAAGGGAACAATAAGACAATATCGGTCAACGTGACAAGCAGTGGCCCCAGCACACCTGTTGCCTAGCCACTTGGTTCTCTGCTGGTTCCTTTGCCTACCTGCAAAGCAGTCATTTTTCATACAGCCCTGGAGGAAAATGTGGGAAGGAGCCACCCTCACCTATAAATCCCTTCTTGGCCATTTCAATCGTAAACTGCCTTGTTATTTTCTCCAGCTCACCTTCCTGTGCAAGAACATCAAAATTCAGCCATTACTGAGGGCCCCAAAAGCAAAGCAAACACCTGAGGGATGGCACCCAGCAGGTGCCATATGCCTTGACAGAGGCAATGTGTTCTGATGTCCACAAAGCTTCAAGCATGGCTGAGGCGCTGCAGGAGTTCATGCAACTGGCGCCGTACAGAACTGGGGCGCCGTTAAACTGAAGTGAGCAATTACTGCATGCTTGGTCCCCTCTGCTCACAGCTCAGGGAATGCCCAGCCCTCCAGCCCAACTCAAACTCACACAACTTGCCCCAACACACCTGCTGGTACAGCCCCAGCTGCGTGTCTCCTGTCACCTGCCTGGCTGAATATACTGAATCATAAATCAAAGCTCATCAGCTCTTTCTCCCCCAGAGCTGCTTTTCACAGCCACTGGAGAGAGCTGCTCACCACCAATACCTCTTCCTTGCTTGTCAGAGTGCATCACTAGGACATGGACACTGAGGAATGGCTGCAGGAATCCGGTGCAAATGGAGCATGAACAATAAAAAGGAAACAAGGCCAACTTACTGAATACTTCTTTGGATCAATCTTCACGCCAGCCATGGCACCACCAAAGGGAACATCTGAAAGACATCAGGCAGCCAGATCAGTGACAGGCATACAGATGTCCTGCCCTAACTCACTGTTTTGTTATGAAGAGGGGCTGTGCGAGTGACTACACCAATTCTTAAAGTCTGCTGGGGCATCGATCCAGAAGGGGAGCTAACACAACGCAAAGGAAGTACGGTTGGTAACTAGAGTACAGGACCAGACCCCCCTGCCACACTAACCTGTCACTGCCTCCATAACATCTGTAAGGCCCAGGTCCTAAACAAAGAATGGCTAGTGAACCTGTACCTGTCACAAACATCACCAGCAAGAACTGAATCCATGACAACCAGGAGATACAAGATGTATTTCATGAGTGAAACCACTGTGACAGGACCTCCGGGAAACAACCTGGAACTGCTGTGCCCCCCCTTCACTCTCCAGCCTGGGCTGTCTCTCACAAAGCTATGCCAGTGGCAAGTAGCCAACCCCTCCAGGCACTGTGATCACTCAGCCATCAGCATGTGGAGCCCCACACCCAGGTAAATTGCATGAAGGCTCTCTTAAGCCACTCATGAATTATGCAGAGAGAAGCATGAGCCAATCACACCCGCTCCCAGCCTTGCACCCCAGAATATACCGTCTCACACTGCTCAAGACTCCCTTGGACAGTGCAAGCTCATTCATTAGTTCTCCAGTCCAACAAAGGGTGGTGGACGTGCAACAGCCCCTGATAACCTACCGAGCGTCACAACCCCCTCTCCAGCACTCACAATTTTTCAAGATAGAACAGAACTCCTTGATCCCACCACTCAAGAGCATTGGGGGCATCCCAAATTCAGAGCAATGGGCCTTTAAGGCACTTCAGAGCCCCCACCACCACACAGTTTACATAGCACAATACATCTTGGCTAACACACACCTGTCACAGTTACACGCAGCACTTTGAGAGCATGGCATTCTGAGCCCCACCACGCCATTGACAGAGCCCACCGGGCGCCTTCCCAACTCTCATTGACTTACCCACCACAGCACATTTGTAGGTCATTAAGGCTGCCAGGGCTTTTACATCATCAATGCTAATTGACTCACAAAACCGAACCCCTGGGGAAAAGGAGAGAGACAACAAATGAAGGAGACCTGCACATCCAGCAAGCCAGTGGCACAGAGGAGAGTCAAAAAGGGCCCACCGCCATGGCCGGCCTCTCTACAATGGCAGCACCTAGTCACAAGGTCAAATCGCCCATCACTCAGCTCTACCTGTTTCTCTCAGCTGCTCTGAGAAAGGAAGGTTATTTCACAGGCACCAGACACCATCCAGATACAGCTGCTCAGGTTTCATTTAGCAACCTGGAGGTGGCGGAGCATTTCCCGCCAACACTCTTCTCGTCTGAATGGCTCATGGAGAAGCCATGTGGGCAACCGGCACCCTGCCCTGGCAGTGTTAACGATCAGCGACGCTGCAGCACCTTTAGCATCAATCCCACGGGAGTGGGAATGGAGAGAGAGGTTGGGTAGGGGAGGAAGTGCTGGGCTCAGGCCCGGCCCCCTCTGCCGGGCGGGGAAGGGGCCGGCTGGGCTGGGCTCGGGCCCGGCCCCCTTACCCCCTTTGCCGGGCGGGGAGGGGCTGGCTGGGCCCGGCCCCCTCTGCCGGGCGGGGGAGGGGCCGGCTGGGCCCGGCCCCCTCTGCCGGGCGGGGGAGGGGCCGGCTGGGCCCGGCCCCCTCTGCCGGGCGGGGGAGGGGCCGGCTGGGCCCGGCCCCCTCTGCCGGGCGGGGGAGGGGCCGGCTGGGCTGGGCTCAGGCCCGGCCCCCTTACCCCCTTTGCAGGGCAGGAGGTGCTGGCTGTGCTGGGCCCGCCAGCCCTCGACCACCTCCCAGTGGCCGGTGTCCCGCTTCACGGGGATGGAGACCTCCAGGACGTGGCTGCAGCGCTGGATGGTTTCCAGGATGCCGTGCACCCACTGCCGCTTCTCGGTCTCGGGCCGCGAGCTGCGGAGCTGCTGCACCAGGTCATCCTCGGCCACGCGCATGGCCCGCGTGCAGAACGTCTCCACCATGGGCAGGAGCCCGGGCGCGTCGAGGCCGGCCTGGGCCGCGGCCGCCACGTGCTTCCCCCTGCGCCGCCCGAGAGCGCGGCCGCCTTCCCCGCCACTTCCGCCTTCCGGGGCGTCACTTCCGGTTGGCGGAGCCCCGCCGCCGCTCACTGGCTGCCATAGTAACGCGGCCTTACGGCGGCCCGCCTCCGCTAGGAGCCTGAGCCCGGCCCGCCCGCTCCGCCCAGCCGTCGTCAGCGCCTCCCCGTGCAGCGGCCCGGCCCCCAGCACCCTCTGCATGGCCGCGGCTCGGGCTGGCTGGGGAGCCCGCTCCTGAGACAGGGGCAGGCGGGCGAGACGCGGACACCCTGATTGGCTGAGAGGGGGCCGGGGCAGCCGCGCAGAGGAGACTCTCCTGATTGGCTGACGGGGCTGGGGGGCTGGACGTAAGAAGATGAATGCTCCTGAATGGCTGAGAAGGAAGTGGGCGGGCGTCATCCCACTCTTCGCATTGGCTGAAAGTCCGGCCAATGGGTGACAAGGCGGGAAGAGCAGCTGTGACCCAAGCACGTTGCGCCCGATGGGGTAGAGGGGCGGGGCATGGTGTGAAGGGGAGGGGCCATTAGGGGGCTGTTCCCGCTCCGCCCCCCCCCCGGCTGTTGCTCCCAGCAGCCTTTGCTCTGTGCTGCACCAGCCTGGTGGGCTCTGCCCCCCCCCGGCTCTCCCCAGGGAGGGGCCGTGCCCCCGGCTTAGGCAGCTGGGCGGCCGTGGCCCTTGGGGCCCCGTGCGAGGCCCCTTGTTTGTGCCCACTGGCCCCTAGGGCAGTTCCTGGGATGAGCTCAAACCGGCCCCAGGGTTTGCTCCCCGGGAGGTACCGTCGCCATTGGCCATAGGCTCCCCTGTCCTGCTCTGCCGCCCGGTCCGGGCCGCCCGGTCCCTCTGCAGCCCAGCGACCAGGGTGTGGAGGGGAAAGTCACTCGCTGTTTCCCGCGGCAGAATGCTCCAGCTGCCCTGGAGCTGGGGTCACGGGAGGAGTTTTGCCATCCCTTGTTTTCCTTCTGCTGGCCTGTGGAGACTGAACTCACCTCAACCTGGTGATCAGTCATAGGGACAAGCCTTCCCAGAGTCGGCTGTTTCACCGTGCCGGGGGCCTGGGCGGGGGAATGCCAGATCGTGTGCACACGGAGAAGCAAACATGGTAGTCTCCAGAGTGGTCACCCAAGCACCCTTCTCCGAGTTCACGGGCACCAACTATGTTAATTTAAAAACATTTTTAATTCCCTAGAACTGCATCATTTTATATTTAATATTTGCCTCTGGGAATTAGCTCTTAAGTAAATAACATGTTTTACAAAACAAGCTTAATGAGGCATTTACCTGATAGATCTCAAACCCCCTAAGGTAAAGAATGCATATTTATAACAGAGGACCAAGACATGTTGGAATTTTTATTCTTAAATACCAAAGTCATTAAAAGGACATAATCAAGTTGTTTTTAAAATAATGTTTAAATATTTATTTCTTACCTTCAGACTCTTTGAAGACTGAAAAATAAACACTTCCTTACCCTAACTTGGCTTTCCTCAGTCATGTGCACACTCGTTTGTTTTTGTAGGGTTCTTCGTGATAAGCATGGAGTTGCTCTGGTTGCTTTTTAGAAAACATTGGTTTGAGGAGAATTACATGCATCTTGTAAACAAATAGAAGAACAAAAAACTCCAGGGTGCCCCTTATATAATACAAATATGTATTAAATCTGGTTAGGTTTGTAACACAAGCTGGCAAAAGCTCTTTCCACTCTTAGCTCATGGTGCCTTTTCTATTTCACATTCCATACTGAAGAAATAAGTGCTGTATTTCTGGGGAGGACACACGGTATTCCTTTCAGAGCGGTAGCTGTGTTAGTCTGTATCAGTAGAAAGAACGAGGAGGACTTGTGGCACGTTAGAGACTAACAAATTTATTTGAGCTTAAGTTTTCATGGGCTAAAGCCCACTTCATCAGATGCATAATGAAGTGATTGGATCTCTGCTGTAAGTGCAAAACTCATCACAAGCTTAACTTTGGAACTGTGATGGTGCTTCCATAGTAATTGTCAGTATTATTTTCCCTCCCCTTCCTTAGGCATTCTACCATCTTGTGTGATTTGTGTTACTCCTGATGTGCTCTGAGCAGAGGTGTCATTGAACTGTCCCCTGTGGCACCCTAGGATTGCCAACTTTCTAGTTGCACAAAACCGAACACCCTAGCCCTGCCTCTTCCCCCAAGCCCCCGCCTCATCCCCCAAGGCCCCATCCACACTACATTCCCCCTCCCTTGGTGGCTCGCTCTCCCCCACCCTCACTCACTTTCATGGGGCTGGGGCAGTGTAACGATGCTGCCCTTGATGGGACACAACTGAGAGTATCAATTCAGGACAAATTGCTAAGAGGAGGGCAGTTACAGCCCCAGGCTGGTGGTTCTCCACTTCTAAGGCACACCAGACCAGCCAAACAGGGAGGACTTCAGTCTCACACACTGGCTAACCACAAGTCAGACAAGCAATTCCCTTAGACACTCCAGTTTCCCAATATCACCACCAGTGCCACTCATTATGGGGACAAATGGTTATGAAAACCAATACCCCAGTGAAAGAAAAAAGGTTCTCTCGATCCCAAAGGACCAAGACCCAGACCCAGGTCAATATACAAGTCAGACCTTATCCACAAATCACGCTGTTGCCAATCCTTTAGAATCTAAAATCAAAAGGTTTATTCATAGAAGAAAGAAATATAGATGAGAGCTAGAATTGGTTAAGTGGAATCAATGACGTACAGTGATGGCAAAGTTCTTGGTTCAGGCTTGTAGCAGTGATGGAATAAACTGCAGGTTCAAATCAAGTCTCTGGAGAACATCCACAGCTGGGATGGGTCCTTCAGTCCTTTGTTCAGAGCTTCAGTTTGTAGCAAAGTTCTTCCAGAGGTAAGAAGCAGGATTGGAAACAAAATGGAGGGGTTTCCAGGGCCTTTTATATTCTCTGCCCTGTGGAAGGACACCCCTTTGTTCTTACTGTGGAATATCACAGTAGCAAGATGGTGTTTGGAGTCACATGGGCAAGTCACATGTCCATGCCTGACTCAGTGCTTTACAGGCTGGCGCCATTGTTTACATGTTAGTTTGAATGTTCCCAGGAAAGCTCAGATGTGGGTTGGCATCTCCCAAAGTCCCAACTGTGGCCATGCCAGTGCGGACAGACTGCAGCGCTTTCCCTACGGAGCTCTCCGATGGTGGGTTTAACTCCCAGCGCTCTATATCTGCAAGTGTAGCCAGGCCCTGGGTGTTTCTTGATTGGGCTCTTACTGAGAATTGTCCTTTCTCAAGAAGCTGACCAAATGCTTCACTGAGGCTGCTTAGAATCAAACACATTGAGATACAAGTATACAGCCAATATTCATAACTTCAACTACAAAATGATACACACACAGACAGCATCATCACAACCAGCAAATCATAACCTTTCCATAGACACCTTACTGGACCTCCTTTTTACAAGATTTGGTGCAGCTATAGGACCTTGGTTGCAACAATGATCTATACGGTCACAGTTCACGTCAATAACATCACACCCCCAACACAAAACTGATGCAGGAAGGGATGACACAAACATCACTGACTGCATCCCAAGAGGTCCCCATCCTTGGTTCTGCCTTACTACAGCTAGTATTGGTGTATAACTGAAATGGTTTATCAAAGTCATCTTCAATAACATGATTAAATCGCTTTACAAACTCCAGGTAAAACTTGGTTAGAACAATATTGGATTGGATCTGCTCTTGCAGCATGGTTCCTGTATGCCTCATGTGATGTCAAGAGCTCAAGAAAATAGCTACTTTAGCTATACAAATGCTGGCAAATGTTTAGAACCCAATTAACATCAAGTCACTGTACATATTAATGTTGTCCATAGTACAGGAATCTTGGCATTTAGCGGTGAAAGCGATATGGTAGTGTGCCTCAGTTTCCCTTTTCATACAGCACATTAGGTTTGGAATGTCTTTTCCCCTGTGAAAAGTTCCAATACTGTTTACAGGCATTAACTGTGAAACATCAGTATAACCAGGCCTTTTAACATACAGTGTGTTCTCAGGTTTCAGAGTAGCAGCTGTGTTAGTCTGTATCCGCAAAAAGAAAAGGAGGACTTGTGGCCCCTCTGCCATGTACATTGGCCAAACCAGACAGTCTCTACGTAAAAGAATGAATGGACACAAATCAGACGTCAAGAATTATAACATTCAAAAACCAGTTGGAGAACACTTCAATCTCTTTGGTCACTCGATTACAGACCTAAAAGTGGCAATTCTTCAACAAAAAAATTTCAAACACAGACTCCAAGGAGAGACTGCTGAATTGGAATTAATTTGCAAACTGGATACAATTAACTTAGGCTTGAATAGAGACTGGGAGTGGATGGATCATTACACAAAGTAAAACTATTTCCACCTGTTTATTCCCTCCTTTCCCCCCCCCCTCCCCACTGTTCCTCACACATTCTTGTGAACTGCTGGAAATGGCCCACCTTTGATTATCACTACAAAAGGTTCCCACTCCCCCCCCACCCCTACTCTCCTGCTGGTAATAGCTCACCTTACCTGATTACTCTCCTTAAGTGTGTATGGTAACATCCATCGTTTCATGTTCTCTGTGTATATAAAATCTCCCCACTGTATTTTCCACTGCATGCATCCGATGAAGTGAGCTGTAGCTCACGAAAGCTTATGCTCAAATAAATTGGTTAGTCTCTACGGTGCCACAAGTACTCCTTTTCTTTTTGCAAATACAGACTAACACGGCTGTTCCTCTGAAACCTATCAAATCCATTGCAAGTGTCCATCTACAATCATTTTTGTCATGCCACACCTTTGGCTCTATACCACTGGGGTTTGGGCCTTTTAGGGTTACCCTGTGGCTTCCCTTTGCAAAATTAAGTTATCTTTTTCCTCCTTGTTCTGTAGGATCAAACCCTGATTTCTTTTGTTTAACAGAATTCACTGGCTGAGGGGGTGTGCTCTCTATGCTAACAGCCATTAGCAAGTCTTTCTTCTCCCTGTCAGTCAGGTAATTTGCATCAATACAGACAGGAGCCAGTTCACCAGTTTTCAGATCCTTAAGTGCTAGGGTTCCAAGGCTGTTCCCGTACCCTGTGGCACCCTGAGCTTTCCCCTGAGTGCTTACAGTTCATTCTGAACCCAGGCCACCCCACAGTTAACATTTGCCATCTTAAAAGTCGACTATTGATTCCTGGTTTTTGTGTTCTTTCTCTTACCCACGTTCTCATCCATGACAGAATTTTACCTCTCACCTCTTACTACACAGAT